TCATGCAAGATTTGCACAGCCATGTTCACAGGGAGAGCAGAAATGGAGAGTCACAAGAGAGCCCACATTGGGCCGAGCACCTTCAAGTGTCCCGACTGTCCATTCACTGCAGCCCTCTGGCCAGAGGTTCGGGTAGGTTCCCTGGCACAGAGCAGCCCTGGGAACAGGAGCTTTGGAGAAACGGGGCTTCCTGACCCTGCGCTTGTCCTCCTGCCCCCAGAGCCACATGGTTCAGCACTCCAGCCTGCGGCCACACAAGTGCAGCCACTGCAGCTTTGCCTCCAAGAACAAGAAGGACCTGCGCAGGCACATGCTGACGCACACCAACGAGAAGCCCTTTTCCTGCCCAGTCTGTGGGCAGAGGTGGGTGAAACTTGTGAGGCTGTTGCTGCTTTGAGAGATGAGCTCCCCAGGGCTCAAGAGCAGATAGGATACTGGCAGAGAGTGACTGCCCCAACCCTGCTGCCGGGAGCATCCCCCTGTTAGAGGGGACCCTGTCTTTGAGAACCATTCCTGCTGCAGGTGGGCCCAGCCTCATCTCAGAGAACTGCTGCGTGGGGAGATGCAGTACTTGAGCACTGATTGAAGTGTTTTGGGAGCTGGGACAGGCCATGTCATAGGATGGGGTGGCTGTGGCCTGGGTCCCTGCAGAGTCACAAAGCTCTTGTGCTGCTCATGGCAAGCTCCACCTCACCCTTTCTCCTGCAGGTTCAACCGTAACGGGCACCTCAAGTTCCACATGCAGCGTCTGCACAGCTCGGAGGGGAAGAGGCCAGGGGCACCTGCAGCTGCTGCCCCACAGACCATCATACTGAAAAGCGAAGAGGACACGCTGGCCACGCTGCAGAGTAAGATGTGTCCTGTGGGCAGGGCGTGGGGATTCACCTAGCCCAGGGGTCAGGGCCAGGGGACCCCTGCTGATGGTTGAGTGCCAGCAGTGCAGGGACAGGGCTGGGCACGGGCAGCTCTCCTGTGAGGCGCTGGCAGAGTGGGTCTGGGGTTTCCTTCAGGCATGTCCCGGTCGCTGAGTGCGTTGTGGGAGCAGCAGTGCTCTGAGCAGGTCACAGCTGAAATGGGAAGCACAGCTCATGGGCCGATGTGGAGCTTGTTCTGCCCGCAGTGAGCTCTAGTTCCCTTCGTGTTAGGGGAGTTTGGTTTAGCTTCTGACCTGTGAGCAGATCTTAGAGTGTCCAGCTCCTCGCTGGGGCAGGCCCTGGGCAGGGGCTGCTCAGGCACAGGGCCAGCACTGCCCACAGCCCCGGCAGTGCCCGCAGCAGCTCTCTTGGCGTTGCAGCAGCTCTGCAGTCCAGCCAGGCGGTGCTGGCTCCCGAGCGGCTGCAGCAGGCTCTGGGGCAGGAGCACATCATTGTCACGCAGGGGCAGAGCCTCACGAGCCAGGTGAGCCGCATCTCCTCCCGCCCAGGAGCTCAGGGGGTTCCCTGCTCCAGAACCCGCTGACACCGGCTCTTGCTGACCTGCAGGAGGAGGCTGCGTACATCCAGGAGATCACAACTGCTGATGGGCAGACAGTGCAGCACTTGGTGACCTCTGACAACCAGGTGAGGGGGCTTCCGTGCAGCTGGAGTGGGGAGAGGTGAGGTGGGGACAGGAAACAGACAAGAACCAGCACTGCTAGGGAGGGGCATTGGGCAGTGGTGACATTTTGTGGGTCTGAATCCCTGTGTTTGCAGGTTCAGTACATCATTGCCCAGGACAGTGTACAACATTTGCTTCCGCACGAGTATGTTGTTGTCCCAGGGGGTCATCACATCCAGGTAAGGTTCAGGCTATCTGCTCCCCTGGTGTGGTGGATGGGGCTCCTGAGCGTGCACATGTGGGGCTGGGCCTCCTTCCTTCCTGTGGCTCGCTCTGCTCAAGCCGCAGCTCTTTTGAGGGCATGGATACCCGATGGTCCTGACACAGCCTCACTGCAGCTCTCGTCTCCAGGTACAGGATGGTCAGATCACCCACATCCAATATGAGCAGGGCAGCCAGTTCCTGCAGGAGCCGCAGGTGAGGGGCCGGGCCTGGTGGCTGTTGCAGATGGGCTGGAGAGGGAGGGGTGGTAAAGAGAAGGTGCATGTGGGTTGGTGGCTCAGTGCAGGAGCCTCCTGTCCTCTCCTCCCTGCAGATCCAGTACATGCCAGTCTCGCCTGAGCAGCAGCTGGTCACGCAGGCGCAGCTGGAGGCAGCGGCACACTCAGCAGTCTCAGGTAGGATCCCGGGGCCCGGAGCCAAGCTCTGGTGTAGCTCTGGCAGCTCCATCTCCCTCCAGGTCTTGGGGTGCTGCTCCTGCCAGGCAGTTTGTGATGCCCTTTGGCAGCTGCTGCCATGCCATGGGCCCAGCCCAGCCCTGCTGCAGACGCTGCTCCTCTGCTGTAGCTGACGGGGCGGCTGTGCAGTGGCCCTTGGCCGGCAGGCTGGGGAGATGAGGCTCCACGGCTGCTTCGTTGCCTGAGTCCCTGTTCTGGGAGGGGGCCAGCCCCCGTGTCTCATCTTTGCTGGCCCAGCTGTGGAGCAGCGCCAGCTCCCTTCCCCTGGAGCAGAGGTGCTGGGAGGTGCAGCAGCTTCCACAGGGTGGAGACGCTCTGATGTGTTCGTAGTGAGCCGGGGCTGGCTGTGAGCGCGGGGTCCCTTGTGCTCACGTCAGGCTCCTGCCTGCGGGCGTGCAGGGCCCCGGGCAGCCCCGCTCTGACCGCTCTCCTGTGCAGCAGTGGCTGACGCGGCCATGGCCCAGGCGCAGGGGGTGTTCGCGGCCGAGGCAGCGGCCGAGCAGATGCAGCAGCTGCAGGAGGGGATCCACTACGACGTCATCACGCTCACGGACTAGCACCAGGCCGGGACCCCGCACCGGGGCCCCCCACGCCGGCAGGAGCCTCCTCAGCAGTTGCCTTATTGCTTCAGGGCCATGGGGGCCGTGCCTGAGCTCTGCTGTGCCCAGTGAGGGTCCTGCGCATTGCCCCGCACGGGCGGCTCCTCCACAGCACCCGCTCCGCGGGGGCAGCACTCGTCTGCGCAGGCTCTGCCTGGGGCACTGGGTGCTCTGAACTCTCTTTTCCTGAATCATGTTTGCATGGGCCAGACTCAGCCCAGTATCTGCCTGGCACACCAGGGTCCGGCGGGGAGCTGTGGGGCCGAGCACAGCCTGGGGTGTGCTGCAGGAGGGTTGTGCAGCCACAGCCATGCGCTCCCTGCGTGCGGGGTACTTAGCCTTCCCTTGGCTTCTCCGGCCTGCAGGCAGGCAGCAGTGGGGCTTTGGACTGGAAGAACCCATAGCAGGACATGGCAGTGGGGGAAGATGCTTATGAATAAAAAGGGATTGAAACCTGTGCCTGTGTCTGCCTGAGGGGCCAGGGGCTTTCCCCTGCCTCTGCTGCTCGTCCCTGGGGAGCCTGAGCCTGGTGGTGGGGCCAGGCACATGGCGGCTGCACTCAGCTGTTGGCTTCCTCTGCCCGAGTGACCTTGACTGGTGGGAAGCGAGCCGGGCATCAGCTGCAGCGGTGGGCTTGGGGCTGGAGTCATGAAATTAATCGAGTGGTAAACAGCCTAAATCCCGTGTAACTCTGTCCCGGACTACAGCGGCCTCCCCTCCCTGAGCGGATTGTCTGGAAGTGTTTACATGTGATTATAACAGCTAATCTCGGAGTTTTAGTTGGGTGCTCTTGCATTAAACTGATTATCTGCAGAGGGGAAAAAGGTCCAGAACCACCCAACTTCAGTGCGAGGCAGCTGTGCCTGCCCCCCGTGCCTGCCTGGCCGGGCTTCCCTCTCCAGCTGTGCCTAGCAGGGTTAAGGTCCACTGCAGCATTCCCTAGATTACAGCCCCATTATCTAATAAATCAGATCCTTGGCCGCAGGCGCTGATCAGGGATGGAGGAGTCCCATGGGGACAAGGTTACGGAGCCGCTGTGGGGCCATGGCCAGGACTGGTCCCGTCCTGGCTGCCTGGTGGCTTCCATGGCTGTGGCTGCCAAGAGCAGCTGAGGTGGGGATGGGATGGACAGGACAGAGCTCCCAGCTCCCACACGTGGGGAGCTCCAGGTCTTCTGGAGTGGCCAAAGCCACAGCTGGGGCTTGGGCCCCCTCAGTCCTGGCACCTCAGCCCTGGGACCTTGTGCTGTCAGCAGAGGCCTGCAGGGAGGCCAGGGATGTGGCAGGGCTCAGCAGCACCGGTGACCTTCCCCTTCCCGTCCCGCCAGCACTAAGCGGGTTTGTTACATATTTAATATCCTGAGAGCGTTATTATCGGTATTTAATGACGGATACAACCTGTGGGATAATCCCCGTCTTAGCGGGGGGGGGCCCAGTGGCAGGAGCCGACGGCTCAGGGGGTTGCAGGCTCCCAGGGCCCCTCGCACAGCTGCCCACATCTGCCCTGCCTGCTCCCTGCCTGCACCCTGCCTGCCCACCACTGCCCTGCCTGCTGCCCCCTTGTGCAGGCAGGAACCCCACGGGGTGTCCCCCCCCAAAAAGGGTCCCCAAAGGGGCTGTGGTGCCCCCTTACTCCTGGCAGCACTGGGGCTGGGTGAGGACCCCCTTGCTCCAGAGCAGCACCCAGCACCATGCACAGGTTCCCATCCTGCCACAACATGGGGGGCTCTGCTGACCCCTGCCCAGGGCAGATCAGAGCTGGGGGCAAGGACGGGCACTCACAGCCCTCGGCACTGCAGCAGAACCACAGCGTGCCCTGTCCCACCTGTGTCCCCATGGCCATGGGTGTCTGTGGGACTCACCTGAGCCCCATGCACCCCATCCCTGGGGGCTGTGCTGGGCCCATGCAGGGTTGGGGGGCCTTTGGACGCATCCTGGCCGGTGAGGGCTGGGGGGAGGCGGCTCCGTGCCGGTCCCTGGCCCGGGGGGGGGGGGGGTTGTATCGGCTGCCCCAGATCCCTGCGGCTGCTCCCGTGGGTGCTAATACCCCCTAATCAGCTGTCAGTCACCGCGGACCCCGGCAGCTATAAAACACCCCAGAGCTGCTCCCCGGCTCCGATCCCTGCACCATGGCGGCACCTCGGGGCCAGGAGAGCCCAGGCCGAGAACTGGGTGGCTGTGGGGGGCCATGGGGGGCCCTGCGGGGACCTCCCCAAGCCCTGCTGCCCTGCCCCTGCCCCGTGCTGGCCAGCTACAGCCTCCTGCCACCCCCCCTGACCCTCCTGGCACCCTTGGTAAGCACCGCTTGGGGGGAACCGGGAATCGCGACCCCCTCCCAGGCCCCCAGCACCGGACCGGGGCTGTGTGGGGTGGTTGGGGCTGGGGAGCTGCTGTCCTGGGCCCCCTGCACCCCCCGGCACTTTGGGGCGCACAGAGCCTGGCGCGGGGCCCGGGCCCCAGCCCCGTCCTGCCCAGACACCCTCTGCCCCCCAGGTCCATCCGGCCATCGAGGGGCCGCTGGGGCTGCCGGTGGAGCCAGGGCGGGCGAAGGCGGCAGCGGCGCGGGAGAGCACCGGGGCGCTGAAGGCGTGGCTGGCGCGGCACCCCCGGAACCCGTACCCCAGCAAGGGCGAGAAGGTGATGCTGGCCGTGGTGAGCAGGATGAGCCTCACCCAGGTCTCCACCTGGTTCGCCAACGCCCGCCGGCGCCTCAAGAAGGAGAACAAGGGGAGCTGGGCCCCGCGCAGCGCCTCGGACGGCGACGACAGCGAGAGCGAGGGGGGCCCGGGAGCACCCCCCGGCCCCGGGCCCGGCCCCAGCCCTGCGCAGGAGGGGAGCGGGGGCAGCCCCGAGGGGGGGGCGGGCCCTGGGCAGGGCAATGAGCCCTCAAAACCCAAGATCTGGAGCGTGGCGGCGATGCTGGCACCCAGCGAGAGTCGGGAGCAGGCATAGGGGGCTCGATAGGGGCCGGGGCTACAGCCGCGGGGAGGGGACAGCCCGGGGCTGAGCAGGGCAGGGCACAGGGACACAGCCCCGGCAGCTGCCCCGCTGAGCAGAGCGGGCGGTGCGGGACACGGAGAGCTAATAAATAAATGTCACTGTCCTGGGCATCCTGGTGCTGCCCGGCTGCGGCGGGGACGCTGGGGTCCAGTAAGGATCCAGGGCTGTCGGTGGGGAGGTCGATGGGGATGCTGGCGGGATGGGGGCACCTCCACGGGTCAGCTCCCAGGGAGCCGGGCAGATCCTGACAGGAGCTGCTCGGGCTTCCCTCTGCGCAGGGTCACTCATGAGGTGGGCTCACGGGTGGGGCGCAGGGCCGGGGGTGTCCATTCCTGCTGCCACAGCGCAGGGAGGTACAGACAAGCGCTGATGGGGATGTGGGAGGCACCACACAGGGGGGTCACTGACCGGGACATCGGCTGCCAGGACCGGCCTCGGGCCCCTGTTCCGGGGCCGGGTTGTGGCAGGCGGCTCTGCACAGCCCCGGGGTGCAAACGGGGCCTGGGGAGCCAGGCAGGGAGAGGAGAAGGGAGCAGGGAACCCGGGGAGGCAGAGACAGGGCAGAGCTGCACCAAGGAGTTTAATGCACCGGAGAGCTGGAAACGGGCTCTGCCCGCGGCTGCGATTCCCCTCCTGGCGGCCGCTCCGCGCTCAGCCCAGGTCCCGCTCTGCTGTGGAGGATGACGAGGGTCAAGGCTCTGGTCTGAGCGCTCGTGGGCTGCACCGAGCTCCTGCAGAAGCCCGCACTGCTCTGCAAGGGGCAGCAGCAGGCACTGAGCATCTCCCCGTGGTCCAGACAGACCTCTAGGCTGGGTCAGCCGTGGGGCAGGAGCACCCATACACGGGACAACGCTCCAAGGTGCCCCAAACCTCCCCAGCGCAGCACAGAGCTCAGCAGGCAGCGTCAGGAGTGGGGGAACCCAAAGACCTCGCGGCACAGACACTGGCAGAGGCTGTAGATGATGCAGAGGAGGAGGGTGCAGGGCACGAGGCTGACGAGGACGATGCCCAGGCTGTGGTGCTCAATGAGCAGGAGGTAGATGCCGAAGGGCAGGGAGCTGAAGTAGAGCAGGCAGAGGACGCCCAGGATGAAGCGGGGCACGGCTCGCCACCCCCAGGAGCGGCACTTGTGGCCGGGGCCGCGGCAGGGCAGCGCGCCCAGGCTGGCCGGGCGGTACAACCGCACCACCTCCAGCCTGCCCAGCCCCTCGGGCGGCGACACGTCCTCCGGCACCTCCAGGATGGTGACCACCAGGCACTCGGGGCTGGGCGCGGGCTCCAGCACGCTGGGGCAGAGCAGGACCTCGGGGGAGCGGGGGGGGCCCCGCTGCTCGTCCCGCTCACAGCCCGTCAGCAGCGCCAGCGCCTCGCCGTCGTCCCGCAGCCGCTGCACGTCCCCACCGGGCACGGGGCTGTGCTGGCGGCAGAAGGGGCAGCGGAGCTGGCGGGGGGACGCGTCCCCCGGCGGCACCATCTTGCGCAGGCACCGGGCGCAGAGGCGGTGGCCGCAGCCGAGCACCTTGGGCCTGCGGGAGCGGGCGTCGTAGTGGCTGTAGCAGATCTTGCACTCCAGCTCGGCAGCCGCCAGCGCCGTCGTCCGAGGGCCGGGCTCGCCGTCCCGCTGCGCCATGCTCCCGGGGGGCGGGCCGGGGGCTGCCCGGGCTGGGGGCAGAGGGGACCCGCTCTGAGCTCCGAGGGCCGGTTCCCGGCTGGCCCCATTGGCAGGGTCCTGCCCAGCCCCAGGGGAGTACGGCACCAGCACCAGCACCAGCAGCAGCCCCCTCCCAGGGCTGGCACAGCCTGGATCCAGGCACTGGGTGCTGCTGCCAGAGCTGGGGCTCAGCCGCATCCCTGCCTCGGGGTCTGGCTGGGAGGGAGGCATCGGCACCGGCTGCGGGGTGAGGGCCTTGGGCGCGGATGCTCGTCCCTCCCCATGTGTGCAGGCTCCTGGGGCTTGGACACGGGCTCTGCTGACTGCAGGGACCGCCCTGCCTTTCACCCCCCCAGCACCCTCCGTACCTGCGGTGTGCGCCGGGGCTCCGGGAGGGGACGCAGCCGTGGGTCGGTGTCCGTCGCGGAGGCAGGCGGGGGCCCGGTGGCAGCGGGCACCCCATGGGGAGGTGTGGGGCTGCTGCCCGCCACGCTGCGGAGGCCCTGGCGCAGGGGCTGCCGGCATCCAACGCGGCGTTGGCCTGGCAACGGAGAGCGGGAGGAGGATGCTCGGCCGGGGCCGGTGCTATGCGGAGCTCGGGTCAGGCTCACGCACACCGCGGGGCACAGCCGGGGCAGGGGGCTCCCCCGGGGCCCCTTACAGGCTGCAGGCAGTCGGTGCCGGGGGATCAGTGCAGCCTTGCTGCCCCTTTGCTCCTGGGCGGCCCTCAGGATGCTCCTTCCCTGCCTGCGGATGCCGGCAGCGGGGACCCTGCAGCCCTTGGCCCTGGGGACAGCACGGCCGCAGAGCGGGGTCCTGAGGCACCCCCAGCACTGGCACAGCCCCGGCTCTTCCCTGGCCTAGGAACGGGGGCTCCTGCTCAGCCCCGGGCACGAAGCGCCCCTGGGGAGGGCCCCACATGCCGGTCCCAGAGCCCAGCAGCAGCACCTCAGAAAGCAGGTCCTGGGGTGCAGAGAAATGCTCGCCCCTGCCAGTGTGTGCCCGGGCCCCTCACTCCATCCCCGCAGCCCAGGAGCCGGGGCTGGGGGCACATTGGGGCTGCAGCACTTCCCAGATCCAGGCTGGAGACAGCCAAGGACATCCCTACCCCGGCCCTGATGGGCAGCAGCAATCAGAGCCCCCCCAGCCCAGGCAGGACAAACCCCGCTCCCAGTGCTGCCCCGCAGGAGGAGGGCAGCGACCCAGGGACCCCACACATGGACCCAGACACGCCTGAGCCTGGATGCGCGGCCGGGCTCCAGCCCTCACCAGTGATGGGGCGGTCACTCACCCGCTGCCCTCAGCCCCCGGGCGCGGGACAGGGCGTCTGTGCCGCTGAACAAGGAAATGAAGGGTTTGTCCCGAGCTCCATGAGCTGCCCTGTAATCAACGTCCACACCCTGACGAGCTCAGCTCTGGCCCACCCCAGAGCAGCCACTGGCACTGGAGCTGCCCGGAGGAGCACGTCAGTTCACACCATGAGGGTCTGAGCGAGCTCGGGATAACCAGGGCTCGGAACACGTCCAGCTCCTGGGAGCGCTGGGCTCATCCCCCCAGTCCTGCCCATGCCCCCCAGTGTTCCCAGCTGTGCCCCTGGCTGCCCCCATCCCTGCAGCCCCTTGTACAGACCCGACTGGGTCCTGGGGTGCTCCTGCTCAGGATCCATCCCTCCCACTTGCTCAAGGGAAGCGCCAGGGATGGCAGCAGCCACAAAACCCCCACGGTTCCACCTTCTGCTCTCTTTGCCTGGATAAACGAGATGTCCTGGAGGGGAAAGCACGGCACTCCCTGGCGACTGAGCACTCGCACCTCCATTGAGACCTCAGCAATGAAGCACTTAACAAGGCAATGGGCCAGCACCTGCGGACAGACCCCCAAGGAGCACTTGCTCATTCTCCCCAGGGCCCACGTCTCTGCTCACCTGTGCTTGAGGAACCAGCTGCCTCGGCTCAAAATAGTGAATAACAGGCAGAAAAGGTTTCCAAAGCTGCAGCTTTCAGTGCCAGGACTCACAGCCCTCCCCAGGGCCAGGCGGTCTCAACCATCTCCTTGTCATGGAAAGGATCCCTGGAGAGCTGTGGGGACGCTGGGAATAGGTGGCACTTGGAGCCGGGCTCTTCCTGCCCTATCCAGAGGCAGGGAAATGCTCCACAGAGGATTGCAGGAAAATCTGGGACCCCAGGAAAGCTGGATCAGAGAATGACCATGGCTGTCAACCCCCGAGCCACTCTCACAGCCTCAGGCCAGGAGGGACCGGTGGCAGTGAGAGCTCCTTAGCCCAACAGCCAGGACATGGTGAGACCAAACATAGGAGCTGAAGCAAGACCCCAGGGGGAAGTCGGGTGCATTCACCCCAGGAACCTCCCCTCTCACCAGGGCCATCAGGACCCCCCCTTGCAAGGCACCCAGGCAGGCTCTTGGCACGGCACCACCAGTGGCTGCTTTGTGCCATTAGGTTCAGCCTGGGCCTCCCCAACCGGGACAAAGGGCTCCCAAAGCACCAAGAGCTGAGACCGGGCAAGCTGGTTCTGCGCTGAAGAGGCCGAGCGTGACCACAGCTGCTCCCTGGAGTCAGGGCAGGGAGAGCCAAGCCTTCACCGTGGCAGCAGCTGGGGGGCTTTAGAGGCTCACACCAGTCATCAGGAAAAACCTGTTCACAGGAGGGATGGGCAGCACAGAACAGGGCAGGTGGATCTCAGAAACCCCAAGGTTTTTCTACCTTTCAGCCAGAAGGAGGGCATGGGGTGAGCACAGCCCTGGGCTGACAGAAGGAAAGGCGCGGAGCCGGCGCAGAGCTGTAATGCTGGTTTTTAATGTTCCTAAGAACTAGGAAACAAATCAAAAATAGACTTTGCTCTTCTTGATAAAAGTAATAAAATGGTTAGCGGTGTTAAATTAATCCTTACAAAACAAAACCCAAGGAGGTTAAATAAAGCCCAGAGGCTCCGCATAAAAACCACGACGACTACAAAACAGCTGCAAAGACTTTACACACCAAAGGAACTCCTCTGCTCCGCTCCTCCCCTATACGGTACACAGCGTCGGCGAACACGGGACTCACACAAGGGAAAGAAACACGGATGCGGTGGGAGCAGCCCCGCGAGCTGCGGCGCCACGGACATAACTATTTACACTATGGACACGGAGCTGCACTGGTGCCGCCCCGGCCGCAGGAGCCCCCGGGCTCTGCCCGTCCCTGTCCTGCCGGCGCTGGGCTGTGGGCGCTGCCAGGGCCCCTCCAGCCATGGTGCCGGTGCCGAGCTCTTGCGCTTCCCGCCCGTCCCTCCGTCCATCCCTCCAT